TATATATATATATATATATTATGCAATAATGCAAAATTGTTTTATGTTGGGTGTTATTTTTCAATTTTCAAATATAACATCAAAATCGTACCTTAGTAGCATACAATCAAATATATCATGTAAATAAAATATATCTTCTATTGTTATTATTATATTATTATTAATATATTATTATTATATTATTATTAATATATTATTATTATTATTATTATTATTATTATTATTATTGTTGTTGTGGCACAAATTATTCTTTTTACCGAGTATCGAATCAAAATTGCAAAGCACATTGACAAATGTATCATACAAATAAAAAGTCATCAGAATTAAAATTGATAACCACAATCAATATCAATTACGTTACTCGAGTAATGTGAAGTACATAGACTAGAAACAAAAATCAGGATCCAAAATCGGTTAATTAAAAAAATGTATTCTTTGTCAATAATTCAATCAAATATTTTTTTTTATTAGCTAAAAAAATTGTAGCTATTATTTTTTTTTATATATATTGTGCAATAATGCAAATTTGTTTTATGTTGGGTGTTATTTTACAATTTTCAAATATAACATAAAAAAATACCTTGTAGCATACAATCAAATATATCATGTAAATAAAACATATCTTGTATTATTATTATTATTATTATTATTATTATTATTATTATTATTATTATTATTATTATTATTCAGAGTAAAACAAAGTCAATATGATTTGCACACATAATTGAAACAATACCAAAATTTCCAAAAAGTCCCATCTCATTTTAGGTAGACATCATTATATTGTTGGTCTTACATTACATGTCACATTTTTTTTAATTTTCACTTTGAATAACAATTAGAAAATAACAAAAAAAATAATAAAAAATAATCAAAAGAAAAAAAAAAAACGTAAGCAGAAGTATATATTCAATATTTATTTTTCATTTTCCCAGCGTCTCTTTGCTTTCCCAAAATCGATTTTATTCTCATTTTTGCTCTCTTTCTATCATCGATCAATCCGTCAATCGCTCAGCTAATAAATTCTTCAGTCTGTGGAATCGAAAAGAGGAAGAAGAAAGAAGCCCACCATTAGAGAGTTGAAGCTCCAGCTGCGAGCTATGGCTGAGAGATCGCTTCTGACCCTTCTTGCCCTGACCGCCGTGTCCTTATCAGTAGTCCTGCCGACGGCGCGTGGAAATTCGGAAAGTGACGCGCTCTACGCGCTTCGCCGGAGCTTATCCGACCCGGATAACGTGCTCCAGAGCTGGGATCTGAACCTCGTGAACCCCTGCACCTGGTTCCACATCACCTGCAACCAGGAGAACCGCGTAACTCGCGTGTACGTATATATTGTTTTTTGTTTGTATACATGAGTGAAAAGGTGTGCTTTTTCTAGGGTTTGGGTGAGTTAACTGTGTCTGAACGAATATTAATGAAACCCATCTGATCTTAGTTAGCTAACTTTGGGATTGTATTGTCTCGCTTTTTTCTTTACCTTTTGCATAGTTGTAATTGTGAGCTCTATGATGGGAGCTATTTGGAATTACACTGAATTGATTATTGTTTTATCGCTCTTGTTGCTGTATGTTGACGACACCCTTTCATCAAACAAGAGTTATTTGCTTCAGTTTGTGAATAAGGATGTTTGGACTGTAACTCTTTGACATGCTCTGCAAGAATTATTAAATTTCTGTCTTCAGTTTCTGAGCAACAGAATTATCGCCTGACTTTCCTATGGCCTCCGGTTGGTCTGTTCTACGGGGGTTTCCTTTGTTTGGGTTACTGGGGATAATTGTGGTTTATGATCGATTACCTACTTTTCCAAATATTTTTCAGGGAATAATGATGCTTTGTTACTTTGAGATGTAGGGTAACTCACATTCTTCACAGTATTAGGGGTTGACCACTTACATTTTGTTTGATTCTTGCTGTAATTTGGTTTTGATTCTCACCGGCTTCATAGTTTAACTTCCCTCCTTTTTTGCAGTATTTGGAGCTTTCGCTCGTATGGTTTTTCATGATTGTGGACGTCAAACTTATCATTTTTTTATCCCATTTTGTTAGGGACCTTGGGAACTCAAATTTATCTGGTCACCTAGTTACTGAACTTGGAAAGCTTGAACATCTCCAATATCTGTAAGGACAATCCTCTTGGTTATGCTTACATTTTAACTAAAAATATTTCTTTGTTGTACGGATATTTAATATTTTGCTGCAAAATGGTCATTTATTATCTTGCAGGGAGCTTTACAAAAATAACATACAAGGTTCTATTCCTGCTGAGTTTGGTAACTTGAAGAATTTAATTAGTTTGGACCTATATAACAACAATCTCACAGGAACAATACCTCCTTCATTGGGGAAGTTGAAATCTCTCGTTTTCCTGTAAGTTTGTGCTTTTGATTGTGTTATCGTTTTTTTAACTCTTGTGTTTTCCAGGTTTTTTTTTTGTTTAGCTTCATACACCGTGCTTAGCTTTAGATTGCATATGCATATTGAGTGCCTCATTTCATTTTTTTACACACACACTATAGCTTTGGTAGATTATTGTTTATAAAAGAAGTCGATTTTTAGTTTTTTGGCTTCTGTATCCAGTTTGATCTTATGCGCGTGCACAATCACAATATATGATTTGAGTTGCATAACTTTAATTATTTCCATAATTCATTATCTATTTGGCAGACGTCTAAATGATAATAATCTCCACGGACCAATTCCAAGGCCTTTAGCTGGTATATCTAGCTTGAAAGTTCTGTAAGTTTTCTCAAAATGCTGCTAATGCTTTCCTTATGCTATGTGTTATATATCTGGTGCAGTAAGGTCACTACTAATATATGCACTTATTTTATTAATTTTTTATTTTTTTGCAGAGATGTTTCAAATAACAACTTATGTGGCACAATTCCTACTACTGGTCCATTTGAGCACATCCCATTGAACAAGTAAGATTTGTAAAATTGTTCATTAATATCATGTCTTTGATATATTGGTTTGTTATTCTTAAAATCATGAAATCACGACCGCTTGGGCATGTTATATATTAAGCATTAGTGACGTCGCTAGTACAATACTCGTGTACTACACGGGTACTTGTTAAAAAACATATATTTAAACTAAATAATAATAACAACAAAAAATTGTTTTAGTTTATAAATACTTTTTGAAAAAATATATTATTATTTATATATAAAATGACATCGTAACTTACACGACTTACCATCCTATATTATATATTTCTTTTTATATCAAATAACTACTTTGTAGTTTAGTTAGTTTAAATAATTTTATTTTTTGGAATTTAATATTAATATGTAATTTAATTTTAATTATAAAGATAAATAAAATTATTTATTTATTTTGTATGTATAATATCTATATATATATATATATGATTGCTGGCAGATACATTAAATAAAACATGTTTAATTATACCTACGTGGCAATTTTACATTTTTTCTCCAAAAAACGTTACTTTTGATTTATTTAATATTTCATTTAATTATCCGATAATCAACACACTAATCATTTCAAAATTACAAAAATAACAAAAATCATTTTAAACTTTTGATTACTGACAATTGACCATATAAAGTGTTCGCCGCATAATGTGATTAGATGTTATTATTGTGGTTACATTTAAATAATATTTTTTTTTTGAAAAATAAAAAACGTATTTGAAATTTCTAAATAAATAATAAATAATTCACAAAAACAATGCATACCAAAATATACATTACATCCAATCTAATAATCGCAATTTAAAAAAAAAAAGTGAAAGAAAAATCATTAATCATTATACGCATACAAATAATTTCGCAATACTTTATTTACATCTGTGTAAATGCACATGGTGGAATACTAGTAGATGTCGAATAGAAACTCATTAAGACATGATTAATTTGATATATTACAACAACAACAACAACATACCCACTATATTCCCAACAAGTTGGGGTCTGGGGGGTCAGTTGTACGCAGACCTTACCCTTGTAATTATACAAGGAGGTTGTTTCCGTAGCGACCCAAGGTGCATTGTGCCGTTTGATATATTTTTTTTTTTCTAGAAACTTCACTAATAGAAGAAGCACTAGAATTTAATGGAGCCATTTTGATCTAGTCCATTATTAGCACTATCTCAGGAGAATTGTCAACATTGACTCTTCCAGCATCAATTGCAACGGACAAATAATTTGATATATTATATATAAAAAATTAATAATTATAAAAAAATTATTAACTTTCAAATATATTTCAAATATATTTATAAATTAAGTTAGTAAATTTGTTATAATTTTAAAAGAAAGACTGAAAAACATTAAACCTTATAAATCACATATGCGATAGAAAATAGTTTTAAAACATAATTAATGCTCTTAAAATGGACCAAATGGACCATGAATTTCTAATATATTTATGAATATCTAACATATCTATGGATATTCTAAGCCTGGTTAACACTTGGATTGGAAATAAATTAAAATATATCCAAGCCAAACAATAACGCTTAAAAATTTGCGACATAGGATCTCGAAGCGTGCAAGCCTGCCTCTTAAGCTCAACACATTTGAAAATTATATATAGGGTGATTTATTGGACTACTAAAAATGGTCTACATTTTTATGCTTATAAAAGCTTGGGGATTATTATTCTGTTACATTCTATTTTACCTGTCTTTTAAGCGTTTTATAAGCTATATCATGAATAGATCTGGAATAATGGATTTTTGATGTTGGGTGAATGTGAAATAAGCTAATATTACTTCTTCGTAATTTTCCATTCTCGATCTTTCTTTATCTCTTGTTTCGAAGGTTTATCGACTTGTTTGCTCCGTTTTGCAGCTTTGAGAATAACCCTCGACTGGAAGGTCCGGAGCTGCTGGGGCTCGCGAGTTACGATACGAACTGCACTTAATGAACTTTACTTTATTGGAGTTTGCTCCAAGTCTTGTGTGCCGAGTGGTGCTTTTTTTTCCTTTTTTTTTTCTTCTTCCCAAGTATGTTAAAAGTTGTGCTGCTGTCTTATGAGATGCCAACTATTGAAACTTGTAACAGTTTACTAATGTGAGTGAATTGGACTTGAAGTATGTAATGTATTCCAATATATCATGTATTTGATTTCGAGCCTCCTGAGTTCCATCACTGTTAAAAGGTGTAATTTACAAAATCTGTCCCTGATGTATGGTTAATTAGGGAAAAAAAAGAACACTAGTTATCATGATTCTTGAGGGTGCTCTTGTAATTCTGAAGGTGGATGGGTCATTCTGGCTAAAGCACTTCAAAAGACCATAAATATTGTCCTAAAAATGAAAAATAACCATCCAATTTTCATTGTCCTAAAAGAACCAACCCCCATCTCACCATCTCTTCTCTCAACAATTTCCTCGACTCTTTTTGGTTTTTCCTCCTCGATTTTGGGTATTTTTAGGTCCCCATAACTCGAGAGAATCACAAGTAAAATAGCAGTGCATATGAGTGTAGGGAAGGAAGATATCAATAATGAGAAAATGAAAGGGGATGACATGTTTGCACAGAGCTGCAAACAAGTCGAGCGGCTCGATGAAAGGGGATGACCTGTTTGCACAGTACTAGGGCTGCAAACGAGTCGAGCGGCTCACAAGCCGCTCATGAGCGCTCGAGTCAAAGCTCGACTCGAGCTCAAGTTTGACCGAATTAAAGTCGAGCTCGAGCCAATATTTTTTGTATTGTCGAGCTGCTCGATATATTTATTAAATTACTAAAATACAAATTATATATATTTAAATAGTATAACACAAGTGCTTAATGGTAATTTCACTTGAAATTTTTCGAGCCAAGCTCGAGCATTTGATTTCGACTTGAGCTCGAGCTCATTGTATTTCTTATCGAGTCGAGCTCGAGCCTCATAAATCGAGCTCGACGAGCTCGACCAGCTAAAAAGAAATTCAATCATGCTCGATAAGATCAATGCAAAACCCACAAAAAAATGAGTGACTGCAAACTGAGCTAAAAGAGCCTCTGATTGTAAAGATCGCACCTTTTTCTCATTTGAACTCCAATATGCAAGAACTCAATGTCCATATCTTGATAAAAAATAGTACTCCCTTCACAATCTAACTCATGAAATAGAAACCAATAAAATTACCATCATTGGATCAAGTCATTAAGACACATTAGTTTGTGAACACATGAGACTTTTGAAAAAAAACACAAGACAAAACATATTAAGTAGGTCATTTAAGTCTACAATTTACCAGAGAGAATTATGGACTTGTTATCACCTGGAAAAGTAAACCAAAATCAATGGGAGCTCAGCTAGCAATTCTAACGACCTTATATCGATCAAGTTTTCACAAGCCAAATTTTTTTAACTGAGCTAGCTTTGAACGAGCTCAAGCGAGCCAACACGAGTCTTAATAAATATAATCGAGCATAAAATTTAAATATGTCAAATTTTATTTTTCTCAAAAGAAAAATGCTACAAGTACATCATAAATCATAAAATGTATATA